CATCAATGAAAAGAAACAAAAATACATCAAGTAGATCTCTTGATCTGTAGTAGATCAATAGATCAGAGAGAAACTCTGTAGGACCTTGCAATGCAGAGGCCTACGGAAGGCAGTTTTTGTGTTGACAGTATCTCTCTGGCATTACGGATATTTTTGTGGAATTAAATGTTCTACCAGTGGTATAATTCTAAGTTCTTAGAAAACTTCTATTTGCTTAATTTTAAGCTCTATGAAAAATAGACTACAATACCAAACTTTTCAACATGGTGTTCATTCTTGCCATCAGTTATTGGTAACTGATTGGTTCACTGTTTCCTGCTCTGAAATCTTAACACATTTTGCAAGTTACATTGAAACCAAATCACCAGGAAGAAGCTGAGATACAATGCAGAACTCCATACAGCACAAGGCTAATGAATTACAAAAAGCACAGATAACAATGCCTTGACAAGTATTTAGCCCCCAAATTACTTGACAAAACTAATCAGAATGCTTGGCGTTTTTCTCCCCTTCCAACTGATGTGTCAAGGCTTGCTCCTTCAAGTAGGAAAAGTACCTTATGAAATAAACTGCCTTAAGAACTACAAAATAGTAACTCTAATGTAGTTAATTTTTCTTGTTTCCTTTCATGCTAGATATATTAATTTTTATTTACCCAGCCTGAATCACCTCTGAAGGAGTTTTTAACATTGACTTTTTGGTCTACATTAAACATGCTTCTTGACACAGTGTACTTGGTCAAACCATGCTTCTGAGCAGTGCTAATGAAGTTTCTATTTGTATCATTTCTCACTTGCACCTTCCCTGAAATCCCAGCTCTCAGCACAAAAACACCATGCAACTAGGAAAAAAAAATAAAAAAAAAAATCAGAAGACTTGTCTTTTTCAAAAACAATTAAAAGCTCTGTTGCTAAGGTACAATTGCACCAAACATTCAGGATCTCAAGCAAGCCATCAGGAAAACTTTCTAACAGTCCTGCAAGTATCCACTGGTTGATCAAAGCACTGGGCAGAGGTTCATTAGCCCTCAGGCTCTGAAGGCTCAAGCATTAAGGAAAGACACCTGATTTCAAGATAGAGATGAATGATCAACTGAGATGGTAAAGACTGCACCATGCACAGCCCTCAGCCATTGAGATCTATCCCAACTAGCACTTATCAACCACAGATTGCAGCATAATAACTTTTGTTCTGGTGGTACCCATGTATGTATCAGCTTCAAAATTAAAGGTGAAGTTCTGCCATGTAGCAAAGGACCCTTTCAGATGAACAAAAGATGCCTATGGCATAAAGGCAGCATTGATGAACTGCTCACACTTAGTTCTGCAGGTTATGGTACACTCTGGTTCTCTGCTGCTCAGGTACTGCCTGCAAAACCAGAAAACCACATTTCCATCACTTCCAGAGCAATTCAGAACTACCACATAGCCCTGTGGAATCTGATCTAAAGACCCATCTTATTACACCATGTCCTTCACAGCTGAGCTCAGAAAGAAACAATTGTCACTATGTGTGACCTGTATATGAAGCATTTCATTCTGAAAAAAAATCTTCCCTCAGTCACTCAAAATACTTAGCAAGTGAATCAGATGTAAGCAATCTTAGACCTACCAGGTCTACCCACATTTCACCTTTATGCTCTGTGAGTGAGTCTGGTTCCAAGACCAAGTTCAACAAGTACAGTCCAATACTTGTGGCCAAATAAAACTGATTCTGCCAGCATGACTGAAGTTCTAGCAATTTCTTACTGCCAACAGCCGAGGGACAGACATTTGTTCTTAATACAACCTCTTTGAAAGACTTAACATTACCATTGCCCCTAAACTGTCCCTTGCCAGCCAAGAAGAGAGGTAACCAGTGTATGGAATAGCTCAACTCCTTCCTGGAGGATGGTAGTCAGGAACTTAAAGGTCTGCTCAAAACACTACAAAGCGGTTCAGCACGACTGGGAATACTGTCATTAGGTAAGACAAAGGTTGATGTAACTTGCACTTCAGATGTCCACCTTCAGCTGATCACATGAATAGAGTGGGAGGGCTGCTGCATGATCCCTTATTGATACAAGCTGCTCTTCATATAGTTGTTGCTCCTAGAGACTGCTGCCCTAAACCCTGAAGCACCGCAGCAGAGCTGAGGATGCTATATTAGCTGATAAAATATGCTTAGAAACTATGCTTGAATTTTTAAAGAAGTCCCTGACTTTATTATAGCCAGCATGTTGACAACCTACCATTTAAACAAACATTCAAGAGGACTTGTTCTCTGCTTCAATTTATCAGATGTTAGAGCTACAGGACTTGCAACTGAAACCAGAATCTGTTGAACCAGCTTCAGACAGCAGCTTCTGTCAAGCAGGTGCAGAGAGAGCACTTCCCTCATTTCAGTTTATTCCACTATTTCAACAACCCAGAGAGAAAGGTTGTATTTCTCCAAGAATAAACAAGGTGCCAAAAGTTGATGTGACCATCTCTAAGAGCTCCCAAAACACAAATCAAGCAATTGTATTCCCTAATCGACCATCCCTAACCAACCACCCCTTTTTCTTTATTAAAGTCACCTTAGCCACAAGTTTTCCTTGAAATATGTGTGCTCTAGCTTAACTAGAAGCCTGTATACTTTCCCTCAAGTTTCTGCCCTTAAACTACACTTTAAGTGGAACACAATTCCCAAACTCTCACTGTCACAAAGTTGAAAAAAGTTACATCCTATAATTGCATCTTTCTAATCCTACTTTCCTAACCTTACTGAACTGAAAATACAAAACAAGATGAAGCTAAATATTTTATCAAGTTAAGAAATCTGGGAAATGAAACACAGGCAAGATGAGCACTAGTTCAGAGCAGCATGTACAATTAATACGTTGCAGAAGTCACCCACCAAATAAAGTTAGGGTATTATTCTTATCTCCAAATGATTCCATAAGCAGAGTCTAATACATGTGAAGACCTAAGACAAAGGGAGCCAAGAATATCACTTCTCAAGGACTCCTTTTTTTCAGTGCCTCAGAAGTCAAGATGCGTAACCAAAGATCAAACACCACAAAAATTTGCCATGCAGGGCTCCTCATGGAGGAAAGATGAGACAGAAACAACACATGAGGGATTTCAGCCACAGCACTTGAAGGGAATCCCACTGCTGGGAAAGTATGGAAGCATCATGAGACCTCACCTTCCCACTTTCAAAACAACTATCACAGGATTGGTCAAAAGAATTTAGAAGAAAGGTATAGCAGTTCAAGGACATCAAATACCCAAAAACCCAATCATAATTCTGAGGCAAGGCAACTGGGAGCTTTGCCTAAATCTACACTTGTTAACACATATCCCCAAATTACTCCTCAGGCAGCTTCAGCTTCTTTCCAGGAAAAAACTGCAAATATGCAGTCCAAAGAGCTCACCACAAACAAAACTATTTTGATCAATCATGATTTCTTTGAAAAAAAATGGATGAGTAATGTAAGTGCAGGAAGAGGTCACCAGACCATTCGGATGCAAAGATGACACTGTTACCAACCAAAGACTAGAGCGACTTCCTGAATAAGTAATAATGGAGGTGAGTCTAAGAATACACCTATCACACCTACATGAGTAAGCCAGCCAACTCATTACAAAAGGCCAGTCTTATGCCAAAGCCTTCCTTTCCTTCCAAACAATGAGGCCAAACTGAACATGACTCAAATCCATTATTCCCCAAGCTACAGGTTATTTTGGTTTTGTGGAACAAAGCTCTTAAACCTTGACCTGTAGAGGCCAAGAGGCATCGAAGGTGCACGTTAGTCAAGCAAAGACATCATCCAAATTTTTTTTTTCAGTTTGAGAGAAGCCAAAGGGCATGAAATGGGAGATGCCACAACTAAAACAGTTAACTGCTGGGAGAAGCAAGCTCATGGGGACAATATTTTGCTAGAGATCAAGCAAGATATCAAGCACAGAGGAGTGTGCCTAATGCAACACATCTTCTGCAGGCACGATGGTTTTCCAATTGTTTGTTTTAAGAAAAAAGTGCAACTCCTCCTTCTCCAGTTGTTTTGATAATTTAAGTACACTCCCTTCAGTTCTCTTCTGGGATGGCTGTGCCAGATTTCTTATTTGCTGTACTCACAAGAGTGGAAATAGCAACCACAAAAGTTTTTTTGTATTAACAGGAAGACTGAGAATTGAATCTACCTTCACCCATTATGTGCTCCTACAGCCCTTTGAAGGCTGCTTTCTTAAAGTGTGGAGAGGAAGAACACAGGAGTAGAAAAAGAATTGTGTCAATCATCCCTGAAGCTCATGAAGTCCTGAGGAAAACACTGCTTTACCCCAAATTAGACATCAATGGGTGAAGCTATCAAGGGATGGCTCGGAAGCTCCTTACTTTGACATAAATATCACAGAACCATAAAATGTTTGGGTTGGAAGGGATCGTAAAGATGATCTAGTTCCAACCCCTCTGATATGGGCAGGGACACCATCCACTAGAGCAGGTTGCTCCAAGCCCCATCCATCCTGGCCTTGACCATTTCCAGGTATGAGGCATCTGTAGCTTCTCTGGACAACCTGTGCCAGTGCCTCCCCACCCTCACAAAGAACAATTTCGTCCTAATATGTAAGCTAAACCTACTCTCTTTCAGTTTGAACACATTCCCCCTTGTTCTGTCTCTAAATGCTATTGTAAATAGTCTTGCCCCATCTTTCCTCTAAGTTCTCTTCAGCTACTGAAAGGATATGGAAGTATGGGACTAGATGGTCCCCAGAGGTCCCTTCCAACCGTAACAATTCTGTGAAATACACACAGAGCAGAGCCCAGGGGGCAACTTGGGGAGGAAGGGGATAACTCTCACCCTGCGCGGAGGTTCCTACAGGAGGCTCTTTGGGGCTGGAAGAGCAGATTAACAGCGCAGTGGCGGCCGTGGCGCGGCTCCCCCTCTGCCCAGGCCGTGCCCGTGCCCCCTCCCGCAGGCCCGGCCCCGGCCCAGCCCCACACCGCGGCCCGCGGCGCCGGGGAAAGGCCCGTACCTTGAAGTACCCGCCTTCGTAGAGCGTATTGGGGGGCCCGAAGATCGCCACCTCCCAGTTGTAGAGGTCGGACTCGTCGACCAGGGTGATGCGGAAGCCCTCGACCGGCTCCTCCTGCAGCGACTTCAGCTCCAGCATCAGCGCCTTCTGCGAGCTGCTCATCTGCTGCTGGGCCATGGCGCGGCGCGGCCCCCGCCGCGGCCGCCTCCTCGCTCCCGGTGCCGCTCCCGGTGCCGGTGGTGCCGGTGCCGCCCCCGCCCCTCCCCGCGCTGACGGCCCCGCCGCCGCCACTTCCTTTTGTGACGGCGCCGCTCGCGCTGACCTCAGCGCGCCGCGCCGGCCCCGCCCCCGCCGCTCCGTTAGCCACGCCCCCCTGCCCCCGGGCCACGCCCCGCCGCACGCGCTGCCGTGCCCCGGCGCACCGCCAGGCCACGCCCCGCCTCTCCCCTGGCCACGCCCCGCCGCACGCTCTGCCGCGCGCCACGCCCCCCGCCGCGTGCCTTTAAAGGGGCCGCGCTCGCTGACGGAGCGGCCGTGCGGGGGAGGAGTCACGTTGGGAAGCGGGAATGGGCGCGCGACAGTGGGCCGTGGTGTAGCTTGGGTGTCACAAAATCGCAGCATCAAGCCGTTTGGGAAAAATCTCTGACAGTATCGAGTTCAGCCTATGGCCCAACACCACCACGAAGTACCACGTCCAGTCTTTCCTTAAACACCTCTGGAGACAGTCACTCCATCGCCCCCCGGGTAGCCCATGCTAATGTATAATGACCCTTTCTGTGAAGAACTTCTTCCCAATGTCCAACATAAGCCTTGCCTGCCACAGCTTGAGACATTAAGCCGTTAGCGAGCGTCCAAAGCAGAGCCTCAGGGATGATGAAGGGCCTTGAGGGGAAGCCGTGTGAGGAGCTCTGAGGGCACTGGGTCTGCTCAGCCTGGAGAAGGGGAGACTGAGGGGAGACCTCGGTGCAGTCACAACTTCCTCATGATGGGGAGAGGACGGGCAGGCACTGATCTCTGCTCTGTAGTGCCCAGTGACAGGACCCGAGGGGATGGCATCAATCTCTGTCAGAGGAGGTTTACTTTGGATATCAGGAAAAAGTTTTTCACCAGAGGGTGGTTGGGCACTGGAACAGGCTCCCCAAGAAAACAGACAGAACACCAAGCCTGACACAATTCAAGAAGCACTTGGACAATGTTGTCAGACACAGGGTGTGACTCTTAGGGTGCCCTGTGCAGGGCCAGGAGTTGGACTTGATAAGCCTGGTGGTTCCCTGCCATCTCAGCTTATTCTGTGATTCTACATCCCCTCATCCTGTCACTGATTGCCTGGGAGAAGAGACTGACCCCCAGCTACACCATCCCGTCAGGGAGTTGCAGACAGTGACAAAGACCCCTTGGGTTTCCTCTTCTCCAGGCTAAACACCCTCAGCTCCCTCAGCTGCTCCTCACAGCAGGTGGATTCCAGGCCCTTCACTAGTTCTTTGCCCTTCTCTGGACTTTCTCCAGCACCTCAATCTCCTTCCTGGACTGGGGGGGCCCAGAACTGGACACAGCACTTGAGGTGCCTTACCAGTGTAAAGTGCAGAGCAAGGAACATTTTCCTAATCCTGCTGCTTTTATTATTATTATTGATCCAAGCCAGCATACCACTGGCCTTCTTCTCCACCTGGGCAAACTGCTGTTGGCTCATGTTCAGCTCCTATCAAGCAGTCTCCAGGTCCTTGCCCACTGGGCAGCTTTCCATCCATTCTATCCCCAACCTGGAGCTGCAGGACTTGTTACCTGGGGACAGGACCTGGCACTCGGCCTTATTGAACCTCACACAATTGGTCCATGCATCCAGGCTGTGCAGATAGTCACAGGTCATGAGTGGGTACAGCAGGGCATGGTTGGCCTACTGTCAGGCACCCATGGGCACAAACCAGATGGTTTTGTACAGAGCATGGTTTCTGAGGAGTGAACTCACATGACTCAGGGGCCCATAAAAATCCTGCAGCAGCTGCCAAGCTGCAGTAGGACATGATTAGGCAGCTGCCATCCCTCACCCAAACGTGTTGTTCTAACATTCTCCACAGATGTGCCATGTAGTCACACCAGAACATGCCATTTCCAGGCTTCCTGCCATTCCCTGGCGTGGCTAAGGGTGAAAAATGCTTGCAGAAGTGTAGAGATATATCAACCAGTAAACATGTCCCTTAGTGAGTATTTAATGAATACCATAAATAATATTAATTTAAAAAAAAAGAAAGAAAAATAACAGTAATTGTCAAGGAGGCAGATGACCCATTTCTGCTTGGCATTTCTTTCATCCTTCTGTGCATGGCAGGGCTCAGGCCACCTCACAGAGGCACTTGCTCCTTGGACAAACAGGTTGGATGATGTGTCCCATCATCCCTATGTCATTATATGGCTTTAACCTTCTTTTCCCCCATCACCTCCCATGCTTTCCCATCCCGATGACAACCCTGTAGACATGGGTTACTGCTGGATCAATCTCCTGCATTTTCCAAAGCCATGGACTTTCCCAAAGGCACAGGACTGACAGGCAGGGCCCTGTGTGTTGGTGGGAGATCATGCATCTGGGTCAGCCTGTGCTGCAATGGGACCTTGAAATCTCTCCCTGACACTTGGCAGCCTTGGCTCTGGCTCCTTCTCCAGACCTTGGCCCAGGGAGGAGAGCAGGAAGCAGATGGTTTTCCCCAAGCTCCTGCTGATCCCAGGACGAATTTGCCATTTCCCAGTGAAAAGCAAGGCATCCACCCCCTTGTCCCTGAGACTGCTCTGCTTGCCCTTCTCCTGCCTCTCAAGCTTTCCCTAGAGTCGTCCCCATTACCCTCTCCAAAGGTGCCCCAGCACTGTCAGTGGTACCCAGTCCAGGGCTTGTGATTGCCTCCAAGCTATAAAATACTCCAGCTCTTGCAAAATCCCATCTCACCCTGGACAATGTTCCTGTGAGGATTGGCATCAATTTTCTCATGAAGCTGGGATGAGTTCTTGTTCAGTGCCGCAGGGGTAATACAGAGGAACATCCCTCATGCATCTGCAGCTTGACTGACTACTGGAATAAAGTGTGCGTTCCCCTACAGGGACAGGTCAGCCACTGGCACAGGTCAGTGCCTGTGGTTCACTCTTCACCACCTTGGAGCGAGTTCAGATTTACTGAAAGCTGCTTAATTCAGCTCTCACTTCCTCAATGGAGGGCTGGAGGGCTGGATCATGAAGAACTGTTTGTCAGAGAGACTCCTCGTAGACCAGGCAGTATCATGCTGTGTGTGTTTTCTGGTGGAAGTTTGATCCCATGTTCTTTTTATTTATGCCAATGGAATAAAACAGAAAATAATTGACTACTGCTATTGGAAGGAACTACAGAAATGATCTGTTTCAACTGCTTGAACAATTCAGGGCTGACCAAATGTTCAAGAATGCTGTTCAGGGCATTATCCCTTAAACACTGACATGCTGGGGGCATTAGCCACCTCACTAGGAAACCTATTCCAATGTCTGCCTACCCACTCTGCAAAGAAATGCTTCTTAATGCCAAGTCCAAACCTCTCCTAGCATATCTTTCAACCATTCCCACATGTCCTATCATTGGACACCAGGAAGAGCTCAGTACTTCTCTCTCCACTTCCCCTTCTCAGGAATCTGTAGAGAACATTACCTTGAGCCCCCTTTCTCCAAATTAGACAAGACCAAAGTCCTCAGCTGCTCCTCGAAAAACATTAGTCCAGCCTTTTCACCACCTTTGTTGCACTCCTCAGGACATATTTATGGATCTTCTCATGCTTCTTAAATTGTCTTTAGTTGATGGACATTACACATGCTATGACTTCTGTGCTGATGCCAGCCAGCAAAGACCTGCACTGTTAATAGGGCATCCCAGCTTGCTAGTAAAACATGCTTGGAGAAAATGTACAGGAGCCAAGCTCTTTTGGTACTGCACTGCCCTCAAAACATCTTTTCTTGCAGCCAGCCTCCAGCATAAGCTTTGTCTGAACCCGCCTAATGCTAGAAGAGATAGAATCAAAGTTTGGAGTTATTCATGATTTATCTCCGCCTGCTGCCTGTCTTGAATGTTAACGCAAGATGTAATCATGCAAGGCAGAAAGTAAAGCAGGCCTTGGTGTACTCAAGAGAGCAGACTGCAAATTTTCCACTGGATCTGCTTTTAGAAAGGATATTGGTCTTTTTCTCTCTGATTTTTTTCCCCTTTCCTGCAAAAATATTCAGCACTCAAAGAAAATAGAAACTGTTGAAGCAACAGAGCATTTTGAAGCCTGTGCAGCCTGGCAGCCCCCTCCAAGGCTCCTGCCTCCTCCTGCTTCTGTCTGTGCTTCCAGGGAGGCTCAGCTGCTCTGCCTGGTGTCCCCTTCTCTGAACCCAGGCTACCCTGAGGCTAGCATAACTTTTTTTATTTATCATATGGCATCTCTCCCCTCCAATCACTTCTGGTATATCATAATGAAAGGATGAAGACTTCTTCTCCTTCAGCTGCTCTCCCATGGATGGTCACTGCTTACCTGTAAGCTGGGCTTTACATGGGGTGTGCTCTGTCACAAATAGTATTGCTCCTTCTTCTATTTTTGTTTACTTTCATCTGAATGAATCAGTTTGTTCTTTGGGATCAGAGAACAAGAAATAGAGTCTGATGTGGAAACATGGGGCTCCAGGAAGGGGAAGTCTTACTGGGAGAGGAGGAGGCTACACATGCCATTTATCCAGTCCCCAGCAGCAGAACTTGTCACTGTAAACTGGACCTCAAGGTGCCACCAGTGCAGTAGGTTAAATCTGACTTGAAAACTTCCAAGTCCTTTCTGCTTTGTTCTTATCAGCTGTTTTTAATATCTCTCTTCCTCATTTATTTCTTTCTTCCTGTGAGCTGTGTTCACAAAGGATGACAAACTGAGAGTTAGCTCCTCTGCTTAGCAACAGCAGAAGCTTTGAAAATGCAAACCTGTCTTGGTGTCACATTAGAGGGTTACTGCTCCATAAGCTGTCAGAGAGAGAGGACAAGAGGTGGGAAGATGTGGGAGTGCCTGTGTGACTCCATTCTTAGGACAGAATCCTCTCATGTGATACTTTTCACTGCTTTATCTAATTTCTTTCCTGGGTGGCTCAAAGGATGAGATACGTGCTCCTTCCCCAGCGGACTAGATTCATCTGGGTTAAAAGACAATACCATCAACACAATTTCCTCTCCTTACTTCTGTGCTTTGGTGAAACATCAACAAAGCCCTGGGGACTCTGGGCTGACTTTAACATTTTCTTACCCCCAGCAAGTCAGATGGTGCAGTGATGAAGAAGATCAGGCAGGGGGTA